GAATGTTTTTAAAAGATACATGCCAAACTGAGGTATGCATGCAATGTTATCTGAAATTTATTTTCAAATGAAAACAATGTATGTGGGGAAAAAAGAAAAATGTATGTGTATGCATGTGCATGCGTTGTACATGTGTATTTAGAAAAAAAGGCAGAGTGGATGAACATATATGGCAAACTACTAACCAGTCAATCTAGGTGGAGAATATACATCATGTTCACTGTACCATTCTTACAATTTTTTCATATATGCAAAATGTCAGAATAAAGCACTAGCTAACAAGTAAACTAAGTAGGGAGTAAATAACAATCTGAAAGATAGTAAGTACAGACGCCTGGGCCAACAAAAGACAGTAAGAACCTAAGAACATGGAAGGATGAAACACAAAAAGAGTAACTAGTGTATAATTAACTTATTAAATTCTAAGCCCTATTTGCTCATCATACACATTGAGGGGATATGGTGTAAAACTTTATTTATGAAACACATGTTAAATTGTTAAGTAAGTATACAGCACCGATAGGTGTTCTGGGGATTATGAAGAAGAAAGGACAGAAGCAACATTAACTGAGTTACCTCTGAGCTCCAAGCACTAAATCTTCACACCACCCCTATGAAGTGAGTGATGATAGCATCTGAATTTCGCTGATAAGAAGAATCAGATATTGCCCTTGTTTCCAAAAGTGTATAATTCAATTGAAAAGATATGTTTATAAATGGTTCCATTAGAATGCAATATGTTATAGTGAGATATTCACGGCTCAGATGCTACCAGAACTAACAAGAGGCAAATAATTATTTTTTGAGTCCTTACTATGGACAAAAAGGAAGAAATAATCATTTCCTGAATACAATTATCAAGGAAACTTTGATGATACAGGTATGGTGTCGCAGAACAAAAGGGTTTTTATCAAGTGGGAATGGAAAGTAGGGTACTTCAGTATAAGAAAAGGCACTGGAGATCAAAAAAATCAAGATCTGTTTTGGGGATATAATCAAGTATTTGGTTGTAATAAATTTGTTAAGTAGTAATCGAAAAATAAAACAAAACATTTTGAGATCAGTCCACGAAGACACTGGAATTCCTACCTAAGGAAGTTTTTAGTAAATGGCACCATTATCTGTTTTTTAAGAAGTAGATACAGATAGTCTTTAAAGTAAATATATCTGGCTATAGCCTGCAGGAAAAAGGTAGGAAGACAGTCTAGTTTACTAGTCGAAAGACTAACAAATTGACAGACTGCTGTAACCAAGCCATGCTACTCTCTAAACTGAGGCAGTAAGCTATCTGTGGCCCTCACCCTACCTACCTACTGTCAACCAAACCTAGAAAGATTTTTGCATCCCACTTTTTTGGATTATTCTAACTCCATTGTGAATTATACACAAGCCTGGGTATCTTTTGCTTATTTAGGCATAAAGAATTTAAGCAGTGTACTAGAAGGTGTTTCATACCTAAAAACAATTTAAAAAAAATTTTTGTTATATTATTAGAACATCATGATAATGGAACATTTAACCAGTTGCCAATATTCTCAGAAGGATTATGTGAGTATAAAAAAAAATCCCACCAAATGATATTACTGATTTCTCAAGTGGGGTTCCTCGTCTATAGCACAGAGTGACTATTCAATTCTTCTAAGGATTATACACAATAGTACTATTCTAGCCTACAGAAATTAAATCAATGCATACAATGGATGTCTTAGGGCATTAGGGCTTAATTCTTTTCTGGAATCCCAGTTGAAAAAGGCTGTAAAATGCAGTAAGATTATTGGATTGCTTGAATAAATTCATTGGATTAAGAAATAACTGAAAACTTTTTGTAGAATGATTATGTATAGGGAGCATATTGAGTGAAGATATATTAGAAAGGCCCTAAAGAAATTCATGCACTAGTTTCTATTTACTCGTTTCTCCAATCAAAAGTTACTCCATTATTATATCATTTCTATGTCTGCCTATCCTTAAATATTTTCCCTAAAAATTGATTTTAATTATTTTTCACCACCTTTTAATACTGTGCTGCTAGACAACCTTCCTAAAACACCCATATAATCATGCCTCTTATTTATTTAATAAAGAATAAATGATAGACAAGCAAGTAAATGCAAAGGCCTAATATCTCACCCTGGCAAGCTTAGAAAAGTACAAGGGCTTTGGGGGAATAGGATGGGGGGCGGGGTACATGGGTTTTTAAGTCACCGGGACACATATACACACTGTGTGCCCTTGAAAGAGTTATCTAATATTTCTAAGTCCCAGTTTCCAAGTCTTTAATAAAGAGGCTTATACTTTTCTCAGTTTTTAACATGATATTTGTGAACATCTTAGCACAAAACCTAGAAAGGCTGTTAGTTAATACCAAAGGACTTCCTAGCATGCTTTCTTCCTCCTTCCTTTTCATGTTGGCTTGATCTTCAGCCTCAACCAAACATATCTCTTCACTGCTCTTCGGTAATTCATGCTCATCTTTCACTCTAAGATTTTATTTTGCTATTTCTTTTTCTTGGAATGCTGTTTTCCTCCTATTCACCTACCTAAACTCTATCCACCCTTCATGATCTAGAAGAGTTAGACCCAATTCTTTCATTAGATCTTCTTCAATTCTACCACTTCATACTGATTTTGATTCTTCTTTTAAAAAGGCTAGATTCACTGTCTATATTAATTTTTTGATATTTTATCATTAAAATTTTGGAGAAGGTAAGATTAGACTAGTGTTCTCATTAATATGCTATTTATTTTAACTCTGGAAGCAATAGAAAAACAGAGCATTTTTCTACCTTAAAGACTAACCAAACTAAAGAACAAACTGATGAGTCTCCAAAGGCAAAACATTTGCTGAATGTATATATTCTTATATTTTGTCAAATTCTGTTCTTTCAATAGATACCCTAGCAGCATGCTTAATGAGTATTGTACAAGAAGTAGATATTAGGTAAATATATGATTAATCAAATGACATAATTTACATGAATTTCTTCAAGGAACACAAAAAACTATCATAAGACTCAATCTTCAATTCATTTTTATATAATAAGAAAAAGTACTCTAATTTCCAGGTCCATTTGACCAGGAATCTCAGGTTATAGCTTCACATACAAAATGAACTGATAAACAAAAGAATCCACATAGAACATTTAAGATTTTTTAAATTCCAGAAATAATTCAATAATTAAGGGAAATTCTACTTTTATATAAATGAATATAAATATGTTCATATAATATACCAACAAAGATATTTTCATCTATCAAAGATAATCAGTAAAGAAAATGAAAATCATATACATTTTCAGTTTAGATCCCAGATAATTTTTCCCTATCTTTGCTATATAAATCTAATAGGCATTAGATGTATTTGATTTTCATAAATCAGCCACTTCAAAAAAGTCACGTTGCTAAATTAAGAAAATGGCCAATTCACAATTCATTATACATATTTAAAAGGCATTAAATATGGAGGCCAATATGGGTCCCAGAATAGTTCAGATATTGTGAGAGATAATAAGGAATGTTTAGTCCCACACTTTCTAAAATCAGTGCTTCTCAAACTTTTCTACTCAAACAGTCCCTCTTGACAAAATATCCAAATAAAAGCTGAGAAGGAAAATATATCCCCAGGAGTAGAAAAGCATAACCCACAAATATCATACAATTCTAAATTTCTTATGCTTAATCTTAAAAATTCATTCTCTTAAGAAAATGTCATATTTATTCTATGTTTTTACATACCTTCTAATACATAATCACGTACTCTCAGTGGTACATGTGACCTGGACTGAGACACACTGACTTAAATCAATGTTTGCCCATCTGAAAAATATTTTCCTAGATCATGATACTGGAACAATTTCATTTTATAATGGGTGGGGCACATAGTAATGAAAACTATCTGATATTTGTTGAGTACAGTATGCAAAAGGAATTAAATTAGATTTTTACATATAAGAAATATCAACTTTCAGAATATAAATATTGTCATGTCCACTATAATGAAGGAACTGAGGCACAAAAAGATTAAAATAGCTATCTCTTGGCAATATAGCTAATAAGTTTGGCTACTTTGTACCCAGTTCTCTACTACATTACAACTTCATCAATATTTTATTTTCACAGAAATCTCCTACTTTAACCTGTGTTTTTCCCTTACTTTTCCAGAATTTAACAGAGGGACACTGTGACCAACCCAACAGTCACTATAATCTAAAAAGAAACTCTTCACTTGTGCTAGAGCTATAAGACTAATTAACAATGTGGGATGTTAAGACTATTTGTATTTAAAAAGACCCCAAAATCTAGCCACTAAATTTAGCCAATTCTTAGGTCCTAGTAAACTAAGAATTGTAAATAGGATAGGATATAAATTCCTTATACAAATTGTACATCTGATCCAAAAGAGCAGCATGAAATGAGAGAACATAGAACCAGAAGTTACATAGCAAATCCTAATTCTCATTAGTTTCCATCACTAGTTGCATGACCCTAGGTCACTTGCCTCTCTAGGACTTGTTTACCATAGGAAGGTATATGCTAGAAGATTTTTAAGTCTCCTTCCATTCATTAGGTTTTATATCTTTATAATTTTGTTGCCCATTCATTTCTATTTCTATACTTAAATTTCTATTACTCTCAGCTAGTACCTTTTTATTGTCACACATCAAAGTAATTAATTTTTTAATTTGTACTTCTATATACTCAACTATCAGTCTTGTTCCTTTCTTCTTAAAATACTCCCTCAGTCCTTGCTTTAGAATCATTTTCATTTTACAATCACATACTGAACACAACAAAACTACTCAATAAAAGCTGCTACCTAATAGTAAGCTCACTCTGAGCTCAACTGTCAAAATGTTTATGATGTCAGCTACTACTTCAGTGTATTTGTTTTCTAAAATGTTTGGTGATTTGACATTTGTACTTAAGCTTAAATTATATTTTTTTAATTTAATGCAAATATTTAAATATATTAAAAGTCATAGGTAAACTATGTTACTAACCATCTTCCAGACTGATTTGCAATTGGCTTTTCTAATTTCTGTAGCTCCGATGTATAAGCCATTATTCGTGCATTGCACACCATGAGATTTTTAACTGCATGTAAAATCTGGTCTTTTTGAGTGCTCAGAGAAAGGAGTTTCCATATTCCTTCTCGTATTCGAATTTCTAAGTCTATTTTTTCTTGAATGCTGCAGTCCTAAAAAGAAAAGAGAGAAACGCATTTTAAAAGTGTAGCAAAAATCCAAATTACAATATTTCTTTTTATCCCTAGTAGATGGAAAACGTTCTGGCTATCATTACAATTTTATACCATACTAGAAAAGCAAGAAAGTTTTAATACATGATGGCATAAAAATTATAGCTTTTTAAAATGCTGTTTGCAAAAATCTTAATTTCATGGTATTAGGACGTCTTTACGATCTACTGGAGAAACAGAACAGAAACAAAGGTAAGAAACATTGTGCTCTTACCATAACTGCACTAGGTTCAATAGTATCCCCCCAAATTCAGGACCTCAGAATGTAACTTTATTTGGGTATAGAGTTTTGCAGATGTAATTAGGTAAAATGAGGACATACTAGAGTGTGCCATAAATCTAACCACTGGTGTCCTTAAAAGAAGGTCAAATGAAGATACAGACACATACAGAGAAAAATGGTATGTGAAGATAAAGATTGAAGTGATAAGTCTATAATTCAAGGAATACCAAGGATTGATGGTAATAACCAGAAGCTGGAAAAGGTAAGCAAGGATTCTTCCCTGGGGCCTTCAGAGGGAGTATGATCCTGCCAATACCTTGATGTCAGACATCTGGCTCCAGAACTATGAAAGAATAAATATCCGTTGTTTTAAGCCACCCAACAAGCCATCCGTTGTTTTAAGTCATTTGTTATGGCAGCCTTAGGAAACATACAATAATTAATGTGACTATTCCACACATGTATATTATATTAAAATATAAGTTATATTATGGGATGCAAGATGAGGTTGATGACACTGAATTAACGAAAGAAAAATTTCTTAAAGAGCAGATGCTGAGTAAAAGAACCAAGGTTTAACAGCAGGGGTGTATCAGGCTATTTGTCATGGTAAACAGTGTAAATAAAATCTCAGAAGCAAGATAGTGAAAGCACAGAACTTAGAAAACGTCAGAGGACTTGGCTACCTGAAACAGAGATTTAGAATTTAGTTCTGGACATATTATTTATTTTAGTTTTAAGATTCACCATGAAACTACTGAATATATTAGTTCTGAAGGCCTTTATTCCATATAATGGCAATATAATGTAATGGTCTGCTTTTACATACAAGTTTCATATGTAACATTAAAATTCTACAAACTGAATGAGCTTTACAGTGACTTTGTAAAAGTTATAAATCATTGAATACTCTTTACTATACTAGAACCATGTAATAATGTTTCTAGAATGTCTATTTCTAAAAGCAAAGTGACCATCCTAGCTTTTGTGGTAAAAAATGAACAGGATAATTTACCTTCTATTGGGATCAAAATATAAATTTAAAAAAGTGAATGGAATCTAATAACAAAATCCTAGATATTAAAATGACAATCTTTTCAAAGGGAAAAGAAGATGAAAGTTAGGAGAACTAATTGTCCATGAACATTACCCAAAAAGAGAAAATGCACTAAATTATTTAACTTGACTATCCAAATCAATCATCTGTACTATTCACACACAGAAAACAGATCTGTTTAATTACCTTCTGTAATTACATCATGTAATCACCACATAAAAACCTTCTCTTATAGTGTTGTAACTCAAAACTGGCATACTATATAAACGTAGTCATTTGCTGGTTTTCCTTCTTTACACATGACTGCATGTCAACAACTCCATTTCATCTTTTTATGACTTGTCAGCCCCAAAGTAAATTCTTCCTTAATGTAATTAGCAATTAATTATAAGAATTATCTGTGTGACCCATATGTCTATAGAAATAAACTCTGGCAGACTGGTTAGTATTGGAGAATGCACATAGAGCAACTTAAAGCTGGGATGAATAGCTTTACCCCCACAACTCAAATATAAACAAATACCATCTGGTGCCACTAAATTCAATTTTGCTGCAATGAGGCAGCCAGTTGATCTAGCACAGTGGTTCTCCAACGCTGGCTGCACATTAGAATCATCTGAGGAGAGAGGAAGGGCCTTACAAAAGTACCTAAACTAGTGATCTACCCCAAACAAACTAGGATCTCTTGAGGTGGTGCCTGAGCATTAAGTTCCTCTGATTAGTCCGTGTGTAGCTTGGATAGAGAAGCATTCCAAGACTGAAATTCCACAGCAACCTTGAAAGTTGCAACAACCTGAAGGAACCAGCAGGTGGCCACAGCCACATTAAAGAATGAGTTTGGGCTTCCATCCTTTATGAAGATCATGTTCTCTCCATCACTTATCAATGAGGGACTACATAAAATTACAGAGGATTGGGAAATAGTGGAGAAAGGTAATGTAAAGTCAGGGGTTTAAAAAAACTTATGTTTATAAAGTTTAAAGATAGTGTAAGATTAAATTAATATTCATTAAGAAAATAAGGTATATCTAACATATTACTATTAGAATTTTATCCTTTAGAGCAGGGATCAGCAAACTATGTCCTAGCTGGCACCTGTTTTTGTAAATAAAGTAGTACTGGAGCACAGCCACACCCATTTGTATTGTCTAGGGCTACTTTTAAGCTATAATACAATGGCAATTGAGCAATTTCAACAGGGACTGACTGAGTGGCCCACAAAGCTGAAAATATTTACTATCTGGCCCTTTCCAGAAATAGTTTGCTGATCCCTAACTCAGACAAAATAGCAAACATAGTAAACTTTGACTCTACTTCCTTAACTGAGGCAAGTCTCAGGCAAATGTGAGTTAAGTGGATCTGGGAAGACTGACATAAGCAGAATGAATCGTTAAGTGTATATTCAGTTTTGAACATATTCAGAGTTTTTTTTAAAAAAGGCTATTATTGTATTAGCCACTTTTGTGTTTTGCATACAACTTCTTTTAGTACACATCTACACTTTACATGCAGAAAAAACCTCTCTGGTCAAGCAATACTAGCTTTAGCCAAGAACAGGTTTATGGGGCCAAAGCACTTGAGTTAATAAGGGTACAAAGTGCACCTGGGGTAAGAGTTGATGGCTAGTGCTACCCACAGTGAGACAAATAATCCTGTAATAAGGGCACCATTGAGCATTCAATGGTGATGTCTACTGATCTCAAAGAGGAAGAGTAGGGAGCTAAAATCATCAATGTTGCTGCCTCAGCCATAATGGCTTGGCCAGGTAGAAATCAAGGACCAATGTCTCCCTATATCCATTCCTCTTAGGAGTGTTTGAATGCAAGTCTCCAGGAAGAGCAGAGAATGGGGTGGAGCCATCCTCTTATTTCTTCTTCGATATTCCGAATAAGAGCTTGCCTGTAATCAAGTCAAAAAGAAGTCTATGTTGCAGTCCTGATCCTGTAATAACTGAAGTCAGGCAGATAAAAGTAAATGGACAAAACTATGAATGAAATAGGAGGACACCTTAAAAGTAGAAATCTACAAGTAGAGTATGTAGAAAACAGAAACCTACTGGGTTTTAAGAGCTAGCCTAGCACAAAGTGCAAAGAAAACGGTCCCACTGTTGGTATTGAGGACTTGAGGAAAAAACTGAGGTTGAGCTGCTGGTAAGAAAACCGCAATAATCCAGGGAAAACTGTCATCCATGTAATGGATATAATTAAGCCATGTTTTAGCTAAGAGGCCAAGGTGAAGATGAAGAAAAATTGCAGAAGAGTATATACAGTATGATCTTTCTAAAAGAAGTTGTATTTTAAGAATTGTTTCTGTGCAGAAAACAAGTCTAGAAATTGTAAACAGTGGCCATTCTAGGGAACGGAATTAGAGAGCAAATTCTTAAATTCATGTTTCTGGATACATTGACTTTTCTGCAATGAGACAGTATCACTTCTTGAATTTTATTTTTATTAAGATTTGAAAAGTTTAAACATTCGTAAGAAAAGGCAGATGATTGCCCCAACTACTCAGATGAATAGGACAAAGGATAATAAGAATAGTCATCTCTCAAGCACACTCTCAGACCTAGGTTCTGTGCTATGTACTTTAGAGAAGTTCTCAAATTCCAACAACTTTCTGGGATAGGCAGTATACCCATTCTACAACTGTGAAAACTGAAACTTAGAAAAGACTGATAACTTATTCGGGGCGGCACAAGTAGAGTTGGATTCGACCTGATTCTGACCCCAAAGCCAATGTTCTATACCAGGGGTCCTCAAACTTTTTAAACAGGGTATTCACTGTTCCTCAGACCGTTGGAGAGTGCGCACTGCGGGCCCAGGACAAGTTGGCTACTAAGCAGGACACCAGCCAAGGCAAAAACAGCAAAAACACCCGGTGGGTGGGCTGGATAAGGCATGTGGCCCTCGGGCGGTAGTTTGAGGACACCTGTTCTATACTGTGAGCAGTCCCAGATGACTCCAAGATTTCAGTAGAGGTATTTGACTAGTATATGACCACCTCAAAATCTTTGGTCTTATCTCTATTAGATGGCAGCTTCACTCATAACAAAGTAAGTGCACCAAATAAGAATTCAGTGGTAAGTTAAGTATAAAATTCTCTTACTGACCCTCAATATTCCTGATAGGTTGAAACCTATTATAATTTTGTGATTTTTCTCCAAGATCCAAATAAAGGAGGTAATTCCACATTTCAATTATTTTGATTTTATGCTGTACCTTCTCACATGTAAATAACCCAGCCTTTATGTATACTCAATATTTAAACACTTATTTTCAGCCCACGGAGCTAAACTTCTTTCATGACTTTATCCTCTTATCTCTTTTATACCATTCCTAAATACTACTGCAGCACACAACTCAATAAATACACTAAGACAGCTACACCAATACCTATGATATGTGCAAGAACCTCAATAGATTGCTAATTCACTATACGTCAAGATTTTAACAGGACAAAGTACATGAAATAATAAGATAGAAAAAAAGTACATCAAAATCTTTTAAATTTTTGAAAACAATGGCATAAAACAGCATAAAAATGATTCAAAAACGTACTAGACTTCTTTTGCACAATGAATCTTAATGTCTTGCTTTATATTTCACAGTATTACTGAAGACTTCCTAAAGATTGTCTATCTGCTGAGGAAATTCCAGATTTCTGAACAAAGATATCAGGTGGCTCCATATGAAACTGCATATATTCTACCAATTTTGATCTACAAAACGAGCAATTTCATATGGTTTAACCTACTTAAAGAGGATGGAGATTAAAAGGAAAGATCCAGTTTGAAGACGTCAGAGTTTTCTTTCTTAAGACTCTAAAGTTACGGTTAAGAGTGGAAAGTATAACATTTTAATAACTGACGTTGTCAAGAAATAATGAGAAATAAAAGTTTCTAACACACATTTTCCATGGCTCAAAAAAGCAAACATAAAACTTCTATCCGGTTCAAGTGTCCTCTCTCTTTCCTTTCCAATTATTTGAGAAAGAATCCACTATCAAACCTTCACATTTTTGTATCAATTCACCCCTCTCCCCTACTCCCCAACAGTTTATGTTGTGTGAAGACATCGCTCCAGTGACTGTGCTTTCCATTTAATCCAGTGATAAGCCAACTGTCCTCTACTGGCCTCGCAGGGTTCCCTGGAAATCCAGGGTCTCCCGTTCCCATTTGCACAAAGACAGGCGTCCAGACCCCGGGGAGGGCGGCGGACAGGTGCGCCCTCCGACACTCCGGCGTCGCTTTCCCATAGCAGCGGGGCTCCGTTTCCTCCCCAAGAAATCAGGGGTGGAGATGTCCAAGCCCTTCAGGGCCCCGCGAGTGCAGTCTCCCAGTTCCTCCCTTTGTTTCTGGCCGTGGCTGAAATCGAGACGCGGAGAGGAGGCTTTCCCGACAACCAGACAAAGCGCAGGGAGAAAGGAAGCCGGGGCCCCCGCCTCCATCCCGCGGCCGGCCGGGCCCCGTCCTCACTCACCTGCTGGGCAGGGAACCCGGCCAGGCCGAGCTCGGGCCCCCTCAGGGTCTGCCCCTCCATCTTCAGCGCACACAGCCGGGCCGCCGCCACTCCTCCTCCGAAGGGAAGATTTGAAAAGCCCGCCTCCGCCTGGAGGACGCCAACCGCCCGGCCGTACCAAGTCCGGGTCGCAGGGGTAGGGGCGCCGAGCCGGCGCGCGCACGCGCAGTGAGCGCCTCGCGCCCCCCGGCTCCCTTCGCCGGAAGTGCCGGGAGACCCGCTGCTAGGTGCTGGCCGGGCGCGGAGGTGGAGAGCCCGGGAAGACTTAAGGTCGGCACGGGGATGTGGGCGGGGCCGCGTCGGCGGCTGAGCGCACCTGACCCAGCGCCGGGTTCCGGCGGGTGGTTTTCGTGGCACGCCCTTTGCGCCGGGAGCCTTCTGTCTGCACCCCACCGAAGGCCCTCCAAAGTGCTCAGGGGGTGGACAGACTGCGGGCTGCAGCAGTCCCTGGACCCCCACGGACAACTCAGGAACACACGGTGTCACTAGGAGCTCACGGTCTGGCCCCCAGAGAACCGGGTGGCATTGCTCGCAAACAGCGCTCTCTCACAGCACAGTCTGTCACCTGGGGTCACCCAGAGATATGGGCTTGGCTAATCCGGTTCGTGGGACACCATGTCAGGCATTTCACAAAGTCTTGTCTTGTTCTTTATAATCCCAGATGCTCCCCTGCCACCACACCAACTACTCTACTTTCTGGCAAAGGACTCTTTTCCTTTTCCTCAGTCTCTCTCATTCTTTCTCCTTATCTCTCACTCATCTCTGTCCCTCTCATTTACCCACCAACATCCAAGGGGACAGCAAAATGGGTTACTATTTCTCAAGAGCCTCATTTCTTGCTGCCCCTAAAGATTAGTACAGAAACATTCAATTAAAAGATTTTGGTTTTTTATCATAATGAGAATGTATGGGTTTTTAAAGATCAAAACTGAAGTGGCAAAGATTTCAGGCTCGCAAAGTCTTCAAAATCCATTGTCCTCAGCCTACCTTGACTTCCCCTTGAAAAGGCAACAAGAAGCCTCTTGGGGCTTCCAACATTTTTTCTCCTGAGGGGAAGAGTCTACCAAATCAACTCTCCTACACTCAATTCCTAGAAAGCCTTGGGCACGTTTCCTCCATAAATAGGGTGACCATGTTTTTTATTTGCCTGAGACCCTGTGTGAGTCTGTTGTCCCAATGTCCCACCAATCTTGCACTTGCCTCAAAGTGGATATTGAATCATATAGTCATCTAATTCACAAGGTCTTTTTCAAAGAAGTTGGTTTGAAAATGTACTTTAAAAACATAATAGGTGCCCTTCCTCTCAAATGGGTAATTTGTTTTTTTGACTAAGTGATACTAAACACTGCCCAATTAGGAATGACGCCCCCTCACATTAGGAATGACCCATATCTTTACACAGAACTCTAAAATACGTGGAGCTCAAAATTACCAACACAGATCTGAATTCCAGAGTCACTAGGTGCCCCTTTCCCCGGTACACACCTCTCTCTTATGCTCCCACTTTGTGGTGTAATTACCCCCTAATCAATGTGAGCTGAATAAACCCAGTCATAGCACCTGACTCATAAAGGACATACACAAAGAGAGCTCATCATCAGACGTACAGTATTTATCACATAACTTAGCTCTCAGACCCAGATAAAAATGCATGTGGAAGCTAGCACTTCATTAAAACGGGCAAGCCAACCAATTTAAAAGTGGACACCGATGTAGGGATATTTGATGAATGAATACTGGGTATATAACTGGAGATGCATTTATTTATAATACTAGAAGGAAGAGAAAGGCCATATTTAGTAATTATCTGTAGAATACAGACAGTTGCTATTAAAGACTTTTCTCTTTGAAGAAGATATAATGTGGTCCTATGTTTTTATTATTCCTTAAGGGACGTGCCCAGGAAGTGCTTAAGTGCTTAACTATTATATGGTGATTAAAATACCTGAGTGTAGGACTTCTGTTTCTTTATTTATCCCCAGGTGCTTTCTTGTCACTGCTAGTTGCATAGAGCATAGTTTTCTCTGGTGTATGTGATGTGTAAAAAAAGTAGACTCATCCATGGAAACTACCAAAAAGTTAGAGTTTACATGTGGTAGTTTGATTAGCTTGAGAGTTTATCTAACATCAACTTATCTATCTATCTTAAGTTCCCCAAAACTAAGAAGTACTACCTTTTACCATGTGAAATATTTGAGTGATAGCATTTGGGCATCTCTTACCCCACCCTCCTTTGGCTTGCACAGAAGCCTGATATCCACCCAACTGCACAGATGTAGTAGCTTCAGCTGGAGGTTGAGCAATGGAATTACTGTCCTACCAATATTACTTCCCATTATAAGGCCAATATTTAATGCTAATTATAAAATAGATATTAGTTATATCAAATGTAACAGATAGTGTTTAATCATTAATAAAATAGAAAGTATTTGACATACAGAAACCAATTAGGATAATACTAATAAATGTTAAAGTGTATTTTTCTTCTCTTATTCCTTGTATTCCTCTCTTTAATTCTCTAAGAAGCTAAAGGAAAGGAAAATACCAAACTTAAAATCAGCTCTCTCTTACATAACAGACCTATTATTTTTTAAAATGTGGTTTGACACAGAATAGGTAACTTGTGATTTCTAATAGCCTGTCTTAAAAAAATTCTATTGGTACTTTTTTACTCATCTGTTCATCTGGTAAGTAATGTTTTAGAATGAACTTCCCAGACTAGAGCTGTATTTTGACTTATAAACAGAGAGGAGAGAGAGAGAGAAAGAGAGAGAGATAAAGAGAGAGAGAGACCTGAGCTAAAGATGCTAAGCAGAGGCACAGCTTAAATTTTCTTAAATGGATGGGTCATAATCTCCAAATAGATGAACCATCCTATAATCATAAGCAGGATATGAAATGTGAAGTCTGAGGATTTATTAGCCTGATGACCTTGGGCAAGCTACTCAGTTTTCTTATGTACTAAACAAGAATAATAATATCCATCTTGTTTTTAAAAGTTGTTGAGACTCAGAAGAGATAAGATTTGTGACAGTGTTTTGTAAACTGGTTATCCCACGAAAACATGAGCCATTACTACTGTAGGAACAAAACATCAGTAGTGAAAGGCAATTGTACAGGACCTGCAGAACTCTGAGAAGTGAATGAGAAAACCTTATGTAAATAGGATATATTCAAAATATGTCACTTGCTGCTGCCAAGTAATATCTATACTAAATATAAAGAGTTCCTACAAATCAATAAAAATCCAACTGGAAAATGGTCAAAACGTATGGTAGGCACATTATAGGACAGTAAACCCAAACAGCAAATGAAATGTCAAATGTTGCTCAACCTTGTTATCATTCTGGAAATTCTAGATTAAGACCCCAAGAAGATATTTTACAGTCACTAGATTGATAAGTATTAAAAAGTTCGAGGCCAGGTGTGGTGGTTCATGCCTATAATCCTAGCACTCTGGGAGGCCCAGGCGGGTGGATAGCTCGAGGTCAGGAGTTCGATACCAGCCTGAGCAAGAGTGAGACCCCCGTCTCTACTAAAAGAAAAAAAAATAGAAAGAAATTATCTGGACAACTTAAAATATATAGAAAAAATTAGCTGGGCATGGTGGCACATGCCTGCAATCCCAGCTACTTGGGAGGCTGAGGCCGGAGGATCGCCTGAGCCCAGGAGTTTGAGGTTGCTGTGAGCTAGACTGATGCCACGGCACTCTAGCCCAGGCAACAGAGTGAGATTCTGTCTCAAAAAAAAAAAAAAAAAAGTTTGAGCTGGGTGTGGTGGCTCACGCCTGTAATCCTAGCACTCTGTGAGGCTGAGGTGGGTGGATTGCTTGAGCTCAGGAGTTTGAGACCAGCCTAAGCAAGAGCAAGACCGCATCTCTACTAAAATAGAAAAAAAATTAGTCAGACAACTAAAAATAGAAACAAAAAATTAGCTGGGCTTGGGTGACTCGCACTTGTAGTCCCAGCTACTCAGGAGGCTGAGGCAGAAGGATCGCTTGAGCCCAGGAGTTTGAGGTTGCTGTGAGCGAGGCTGACACCATGGCCCTCTAGCCCAGGCAACAGAGTGAGATTCTGTCTCAAAAAAAAAAAAAAAAAAAAATGCAAGTCTAAGGGACTTAGACTTTTATTGGTGGAAGAGATGTAAATGTGTCCAATCACTTTGGAAAAACAAATTAGAACTATCTTGTAAATTTGAAAATGTGTATACCTACCAAGTCCATTCCTAAGTATATATCCTATGGGAAATTCTAGCAAATTTCATAGTCAACATTGCTTATAATAGGAAAAATAATTTAAAAATCCAAATGTTCATTTCAGGAGCATAGACAAATTGAGGTGATTTACCCAATGGAATAACATAAACAAATAAACCATAGTTATATGTAATAGCATGACTAAATCTTGGAAATGCTGAATGAAGGAAGCTAGTTGCAGAAGATTACATGGAATATATAATCTCTGTAAACCTAAATAACAAGAGAATCTAAACGATACATTGTTTGGGGAAATAGATACATAATTAAAGTTTATATTTAACAAGGAAGGGAATGAGAATACAAAATTCAAGCTGGTAGCCATTTCTGGGAGGAAGGCAGAAGAATATGAAAGAGACAGAGCCTGCAGATATAAAGCTACATACTGGTTATGTTTTAATTCTTAAGTTGAGTGATGGGTTCACAGGTATTCATTTTAATGTTTGCCTGGTAACTTACATATAAATTACATATATTTTGTATACATCAAACATTTCATAAGAAATACATTTAAATATGTAAAAAAAGGTCCTTGTAAATGTTAAACAATAGTGGTAATGTTTGGTATTCTTTTAAAAAAACTTTATTTGGTGAAATAATATATTTTGGCTAATAAAATTTGACTTGACATTTGATCCATTTCTATTGCATTTTTACTATGGGAAAGCATGAGAAAGACAGGTGTAATGCATTGGTGTCTATGCCCAGAAAGAGGTGCTGAAGAATTGGCCATGTGGATTTATTGGTGAACCCTTAAGAACCATTACTTGGGAGTAGTGGGAGGCAGGGGTCCAGCAGAATTTGCAAAAGATGAGAGGTCTTGTCAGCAGGTAGAGGCAAAATTAAGTGCAATTTAAGTTATAACTGCTAATGTGACCTACATCTTACACACAGCTCTGAGGAAATTCATGTGACATTATAATCAGAATGCTCCTGCTTTGGTTCTGGAAAGTTCTTTTTATAGATATTTACTACTTTTTTCTCCTTC